ATATATATATATATATATATATATATATATATATATATATATATATATATATATATATATATATATATATATATATATATATATATATATATATATATATATATATATACCTAAATTGTATTTCAACGCGTTGGAATGGGTTACCAGCATCATTCGCTGAACAGATATATTTGGCTTTCAGACACAGATGAGTAGACACCGGAGTGCGCTAGACATCCGGAGCGTAGATTAGTTAGTTTCCCCTTTCGGCCTGCGTGCCATGATTATGTATTGACATTGCTTTGAGGTTGTTTAGTTAGTTTAGCCTGTGCATCTGAGTTTTCCAGCTCAGATGCATGTGGCATAGCACCCCGCACTCTTATGTTGATCTTGGGATTTAATGAGATTTCACCTTTATTATAAGCTTTAAAAAGTTTCAAAATTTCGGGGTGTTACACTTCAAGTAGAGAATCAGAGGACTTCTCTTATACAGAGATTGTACCCCTTCCCGTTTGATATATACTTGATACTTCATTGTAACCGATACTTTGAATTTTGAATATATACAATTCAAGTTTTTCACGTTTACAGGGTCGAAGCTCGTCTCGGCCACGATCAGCCGAAGCATCAGTCATGATCGGCCAAAATGCGCGCCTCGGCCTGCCAACCTAGGCCGAAACCCGTCTCGGCCAGCATAAAAAAAATAAAATAAAATCATATGTGATTTGTAAAATAAAATCACATACTCAGGATCATCTGGGATTCTGCACGATATCAAGCAAATTCAGTCTTACTCCCTAGTCAACTCAAACACATCCGTAGACTCAAGAGTAGGGGGGACTGGTGACAGGATAATAGGACTGACACCCGACCCGGATCATAAGTGGGCATCTGACCCGGCGCCATATTTGACCCGGCACCACATGGAAACCCAACGGACAGAACTCCAACGGACAGAATTCCAACAGGTGTCATCTTTTATTGCCGTTGAAGCCACCATTGATACCACCATTGATGAGAGAATTAAATGCTTAGCTCCCCATTTATGTCCCATGTTGATACCGTTAGCACCCTGGTATAAGTAGATGATCCCCTCAGCTTGGGAGGACACACTGTATTTTCTATACTAAGACACTAAGGCAATACAACTATTGTCACTCTTTCACATAGCGTTATTCTAATATTATTATTACCGGTAACATATTTAACGTCACTATATATTTTGAATTATTTATTATCATCCTCTATTGTCAGTAATTGTAACAATTGTCATTGACAAACTTTCAAAACAAATTGTCTCAACAACGTAACAAATTGGAATTGTTCATGCATAGATAATTGAATGTTGAATTTGTGTATTTAAATAGATAATTCTAAGTTTACAAATGCAAGATAATATAGCCAAGATTGATTATAATTGTCAATAAAATAATTGTATACGTATTGTTGAAACCAAATACGGGACATAAGGGATAGCAAATAAAAATTAGGGCATAAAATATTAAATATATACTAATATTGAAGAGCTAACTGCTGATTGTCAAACAAGGACATTGCGAGGTAGTTTCTCACTTCAATTTGTTATGTGATTTGAATACTCTTTTTTGTCAATAAATCCCTCAAATAGTTAATATGATTGGCTTAATTATATTTTTTTATATTTTTATTTTTTTAAAACAATTTTTTTTTATCAGTGAGGTTTTTTTATCAGTGAGGAGGGGAACACCCAAAAAATCACGTATATCTGACGAAAGCTGCACCCATTTGATCATGCCGAATGAGTTCCTGAACCTCAACTGGTGCGTCTATTAAAGCTCGAAAACCCATCTGGTGAGTGAAGGCCTCCCTTGCCAAGAAATCTGCAACCTTGTTTGTAACACCCCGAAATTTTTAAACTTTTAGAACTTATATAATAAAGGTAAATTCTCATTAAATCCCAAGAGTAACCATAAGAGTACGGGGTGCTATGCCACACCTGAGCTAGAGAACTCAGGTGCACAGGTAAACTAACTAAAATCCTCAAAGTAATTTCGGTACATAAGCATGGCACGCAGGCCGAAAAGGGAAACTAGCTACTCTACACTTCAGATCTCTAGCGCGCTCCGGTGCCTACTCATCTGTGCCTGAAAGCCAAATATATCTGTTCAGCGAGAGATGCTGGTAACCCACTCCAACGCGTTGAAATATTATATATATATATATATATATATATATATATATATATATATATATATATATATATATATATATATATATATATATATATATATATATATATATACAAAAATCATTTTGAAGCAGGAAGATATATACTTAAGAGACTCTAGCTTTAAAACCAGGAATAGACTCAGCAAATAGGGTAAGCACACAATCAATAATAATAGTTAAGGAGAATCATCATAAAGAACACGTAACTAAGGTCACAGCCTATTTCCACATCAATCATATCATCATTTAATCGTCATTTAATCATCATTCAATCATCATTTGTGACACTCAATCACACTGCTCTGGCGCCACGGGACCAATCGCATGCCCCGAACATGAGTGTTAATGCGTATAGCATTAACACGGCCCCGCAGCACCCTACCTCATACCGCGGCATGAAGGGAGTTGATCGCAACCAACCCATAGAGGACCGCTGACGAACTCAACGTCGGACCACAATCCGACACACCGCTGACGCGCATAGTCGGTGGACCGTGATCCCCTTTACAAGGGGGGACTTGCGACCCTACACACCGTTGATGCGTACAGTCGGTGGACCGTGATCCCCTTTTACAAGGGGGGACTTACGACCCTACACACCGTTGATGCGTATAGTCGGTGGACCGTAGCGAATCAAGCCCGACACACCGCTGAGCTAGACTCAGTCGGTGGGCAAAGATCCTCGGAGACTACGGCCCTACACACCAATGTCCAATCACTCGGTGGATCGCAGCCAGCCGTAGCCCTACACACCGCCTGATTACTCAGGTAGGTGGACTACAACCTTCCTCGGCTTATTGGCCCTACACACCGCCTGGCGCGTCCAGGTCAGTGGGTCATAGCACCGAGGCCCATGTGGACCGCAGCCCAAGAAGTGAATCAATTCGGCCTTCAGCCAACTTCTGAGCCTTAGCTCAGGAACAATCCATTTGGCCTTCAGCCACTTCCGAACCTTTAGTCCGGGAACAATCCATTCGGCCTTCAGCCGACTTCCGAACCTCAGTCCAAGAGTCACCCAATTGGTCTGTAACCAAAATAGGGATCATGCAACACATAACACATAGGAGCACGTAATAGCATATTGGAAGGGGAAAGACAATTAAATAAACTTACGTGTGGTCATTCACATACTAAGAATAGTCCTAAGGGTTCATACAACTTCCACCTAGGTCGACGGGCTACCAATTAGCATGCAATTCCTAAGACTCATTTAACCTACGAGTGGTACCCGAAATGTCAAACTAGACTCAAGCACGACAAACGGGGTCCGTTGGGACACCATGGGGGAGCGGGGAACATCAAACGGGGAAGCCAAAGATCTAGGGTGGGGTACGGACCAGCGGGTAGCCGGTGGGTGGTGGTCACCCGCCGGCTGCCCGCTGGAGATCACCGCCCGACAGCAGGTTGCCGGCGGGCGGACGCCTGCCCGCTGGCTGGCGGTGATCTTCGGGCAGCGGGTAGGTGGCGGGTACCCCTACCCCCACCTACCCCCCACTGACTCCTTCATCACAAATTCGTCCCGGGATCCTTTGTGGAACCCGAAACCATGCTTAGACACTTTTAAACGCAATTAACGACACCACGTAGTCAATTAATGGATCAAAAGCAAGAATCACGTATAACTCGTCCCATTACAACTTCTAAATATAAACAACACTCGAACATGCGAATTCCCACCCAAATATATATCAAGAACATTACAACACAAATTCCCAATCCATCCAAGGGCTCTAATCTCACCCAAGTCATCAAGATCATATTTTATCTTTAACATCAAGAAATATCAAGATTCGTCAAGAATTATCACATCAATAACAAGAACTTCTTTTCAACATCAAGATCATCAAGATTATCAAGAATGCGCATAAATCATCTTATTAATCATCAAGAACATATCACAATTAACATAGAAGAATTTATCAAGACACAAGAATGTAGAGAGAGGCCAAAGAAGGAGATTATAGCGAAGAAAATAGGTTTTGTTGAGACATGGGTTACCTCATTCGCTTATCCATCCAAAACAACGTCAAAGGGACCTGTAAATCAAGTTGAATCTTCACTACGTAATCGAGCTAATAAAATAGTTAAGCCTCCTCCCAGTCTAAACGTATCCCACAAATCTACACTTATCATATCTTAACTATCCCTAATTAATAATAATCAATTAATTCAACTAGTCACCATCTAACACTACAAAAAAATGCGAAAATAGCGACGGAAAATTCCGTCGCTAGAAAGGGAAAAATCCGTTGCTAAAGCGATTAGCGACGGATTAGTGACGGAATCCGTCCGTCGTTAAAAGTGGCGTCGCTAAAATTTTGCGACGCAATTTTTTTCCGTCGCTAAACTTAGCGACGGATTTTTCCGTCGTTAAACTTAAAACTATCCGTCACTAATTTCCTTTCCACGACGATTTAATGACGAAATTAGCAAGGGAATTGCAACGGAATATTCCGTCGCTAAATTTAACGATGGATATTCCGTCACTATTTTGTTTCTGTAGGTGCGAGTTAGCTACAACTTAGAGACAGAAATATCTGTCGCTAAATATAGCAACAAAAATTTCCGTCGTAATTACGTTGTCATTCTTTATTGTTTGAAAATATTTAGCAAATATACTACGATTTTTGTCCGTCGTTAAATTTTTAAAATTTAAAAAAAAAAATCTACCAATTAATAATATCATCGGCCTGTATTACACTTATAATATAATATAATACTTCAATAATATAATTGCAAAATATATTATATTAAAAAATTCAATGTCAATAACAATAACAAACGTATAACATTGTAAGGTGTTACATCGTTATAAACGGTACCAAATACCTCCTAAATTTTTTTTATTGAAAATCCTATACAAAATTTTGCAAAACCAACACAAAGAACTATACAATATATCTTTCACAAGAGTAACTGCTATCTATTGACATGTTGTGCCTTGTTTATTAACTCCAGTCCCAAGTTGTGCCTTGTTTATTAACTCACCGACCAAACCATTGACATGTTCTAGTCTTCACTGGCTTCAAGTAGCTCTGCAAATTCTCTCACTATTCTTCCATCCTCATGTATCAATAGCATCATGTTTAATACAGTCAACTGTGCATTCAAATTGAGTAATCTGTAAAACAAAATGAATAGGTGCATTTGAAAGCTCTTGTTTAAGCATTTTGCTTTACTCAAATAGATAAAAAAAAAATAATGTAGCAAAACAATACAAAATATAATTTATTCAAGCAAGCAAAAAATGATAAATCTTTATGAATTATGCCAAAGTTAAAAACATAATGAGCTTATTGACAAAACATCTGATGCAAAATAGTCAAATCAGTAATCAGTTTGCACAACTTATACTTTTATTAGTCAAAGATCCATCATTTTGAGCATGTATGTGGGCGCTTAGATTTAGACCTCAAAAACATTTCTTTTAACTTTAAGCCAAAGATCCAATAAAGTGCTGTTAGTATTGTGATGACAAGAAGAGAATTAGTGAATTACTATAACACCATCATCTTACTTCTCAATAAATCTATATCACAGAATCCCACCAACTCTATACTTCAACCTGGATCACAATAATATTCACCCCTAATTTCATTTAAATATCAAATTCTCATATACCTCTTTTGCTAAAAGATCTCAAGTTTTGCAAACCAACAAATCTACTTTTTTTTTTTTTTTTGGGAAGTAGTTAAGTAGCCTAATCTGAAATGCTTTGCACGAGTAATTGAGTTGATCAACAACGAAAAATGGAGATAATACACATGCCAAAATATTGATAATACTGAAATCAAAGGCATCAAGGATCTCAAGCGGGAACTGAAAACACACTAAATGTGTCCTTAATCTTAGCAAAAGAGAGAATAGAAGACAGTGACAGCAAGACTTCAAAATTTGAATCACTATCTCTTTCCTTCATACATACAAATTTCTATATAGATGAAACATCAATCCCCCCCACTACAGATGCACCAACTATACTCAATATTTTAGATTAAAAAAAAAAAAAAAAAAAAAAAAAAACTCAAGAAAAGTGGTGGACCTGAGGTTCCAAGCCTCTAGGATGTGTGAGCATATATCCGTTAATGTGTATCCAACTATCAGCTTAAGCTTTTAGTTGAGATGGAGCACATGCTTCAATTTGGTATCAGAGCCAGACCAAAGGTAATGGGTTCGAATCTCAACGCCACTCGTAAGCGACTACGGTTTACCGGTCCACGTGTTGGTTGGAATCCACCGTACACGTGAGGGGGCGTGTGAGCATATATCCGTTAATGTGTATCCAACTATCAGCTTAAGCTTTTAGTTGAGATGGAGCACATGCTTCAATTGGATGCAAGGTAAGGGGGGAAACTACATAAGCCCTAAGGAGGCTTGGGTGCCAACTTACCTAGGAATTCTTCCAATTACTAAACTCCTCAGAAAGTAAAGTAATTAATCATCTTCTAATATTTTAAGGATTCCACTATAAACACATATACAGGCAAGAAAAAATCAAAATTTATGCGAGAAAGATTTCCAGTACACTGGAAATGAATTTTGGCATATATAATAGAAAATTAAATTCTTGTTTATGATGGTATAAAGAAAATAATGCATCCTAGTTGCCACTAATTTCTCTAACAGGTTGTGGAGTACAATACTAGGAAAATAAAGAGCCACAACTAGCGTATCAAATTCAAGAATCGCGGCCAGTGTATGAACTTCATTCACATATTGTACCTTCAAGAGATCTCCAACCAAGTAAATCGATTTTTTTCTTAATAGTAACCATAATCTCTAACCAACTCTGCAATCTTACATACAAAACCATAAATTTCAATTCGCAAACATTAAAGTGACATTCAGAGACAAAAATAGTAACCTAAAAAATTAGAGATCCAAAAATTCTCAAACTATAAAAACACTAAATCGGCACATTCAGATCACAAGACAACAGTAAGGCCACGAAACAATCAGATATATCGAATCAATCCCAGACACTCGTCGGAAGAAAATCCAAATTCTGTAAATTCAAGAGACAGAGAAGCGTCAGATTTACCTCGACTGTTTGAACCCAATTCAAGGATGTATACAACCTTGCAATCTGGTCCTCCTCTCTGGTTCTATACTCGGCGGTCAGCGGCGGATAGGGGAGGCGACGCTTGGCAATGGTAGGGGAGGCGGCAGTCGGCGGTAGGGTAGGCTCCTCTGTGATTTTGTTTTGGTCGACTTGGGGTTAGGGACTTAGGGGAGAGACTGATTTGTTAATACGGAGTATAAAATAAGTTAGCGACGGATGAACAAATCCGTTGCTAATATGAAAAAAAATTCTAATGTATAATTAGCTACGGAATAAAAGGTCGTCACTAAAATGAATGAACAATCAATTCCACTTGTAAATTTAGCGACGGATTTGATAATCCGTCGCTAAATTGTTTTTTAAAAAATATGACTTTATAAATTTAGTGACCGGTTCTCAAACCCGTTGCTAAATAGCGACGGATTTGAGAATCCGTCGCTATTTAGCAACGGAATCTAAAATCCGTCGCAAAAATGAAAAAACAAAAAATCTCGCTTGAATATTTAGCGGCGGAATCATAAATACGTCACTAATCTGTCGCTATTTTTTGCGCCAAGATTTAGCGCTAAAATTAACTACGTATTTAGCGACAGAAATATTCCGTCGCAAAAATTTCTCGCAAATCCGTCTCTAAATATAGATTTAACAAAAAAATAACATTTGTCGCTAAATTGTCACTAGTCCGTCACTAATTTAGCAACGGAATAGGTCCGTCGCTATATAAGCATTTTTTTGTAGTGTAATAATAACCGAAAAAGAATTAAACATGCCTAAGGAAAGATTCAAACCCAGGTTCTTCTTTATACAAACCAAGGTTCCAACCACTACGCCAATATTACATGTTTGTTCTTAAACTGTGTTGTGATCCTAATGAGCCAACATACCGTCCCACCATTATCATCTTCTTCCCGCCCAACACTGCCGTCCTAATAGCAGTGTTCACGCGACGCTACTGCCTATTGAAACTATCGAATTATAAGGCGTTACCTGCTGCCACGCCTGCGGGAGGAAGAGACGAAGACCGCCACCCCGCCGCCGTGGTCGTTGGTTCAAACTTTGCCGGAGAGGCAATTGTCACCACCACGCCGTTCGTTGCATGCGAAAGCCCGCCGTAGATCGCCATCGTTCCTCCGAGAAGGGAAGGTGTCCGAACAGCCCTGCAACCCTTGTTGCTGCCGTCACGCTTCGTTTCTTGATTACTACGGAGGGGGAGACGAAGGACGAAGATGGAGCGTAGGTTGGGGGTGTAGGACGAGAGAGAGGGTAGGGGAGGGTTGTTCGCCGGTGGTTGTGCGTACGTATTCGTGTGTAAGTATTCTGTATAGAGGGGATAGGTATGCGGGTATGTACCCGTATGTGTTGTGTATATATATATATATATATATATATATATATATATATATATACTCCTTATAACAATAGAAGTAGTATTAGTATTGTGGGTTGGGCTAGAGAGGGATTTTAGGCCAAGTATGGATTATGGAATATATGTTCATGTATATATACATTTGGGTTTGGGACTTGGGCAAGGGTCCATGGTCCATGGTGGACCATATTAATTAATTACAGGGAATCCTAACTAAGTTAAATCCTTTTTAATTATTATTAACGGGATTAATTAAATAATTAATTTGGGATTAAAGGCCGTAACACGGGGTGTTACATTGTTACCCTCTCGAAGGACAGCACGAACCGTAGCTCCTGTATTCTTTCAGCCTCTCTCAGACATCTCCAGGTGATATTGCATCCTGTCTCTTGTTCACTAGCCTCTCCACTCAAAGCATCTATCAGTGTTTTGGAGTCACTTTCGACAATAAGCTTTGTCACCCCACACTCTCTAGCTACTCTGAGGCCATGCAGGACCTCCCAAGATTCTGCCTCCCTGACTTTGCATCTTCTGATATAAGCGTTGAAACCCCCCACACCAATTTCCATGTTCATCCCTAATTAGGCCCCCGCAACTTGCCGTGCCGTCCCCCTTCCGACTACCGTTGATGTTCAACTTTCGCCATCCAGCATGCGGCTTCTGCCACCCAATCGGTGTGGTCTCGGTCCGAACCGCAGCCTTCTCCGGGTGAAAACGGTTTTCAAATGCTGCTTTGACCTCCACATCATATCCTGTGAGCCAGTCCAACTTGTGTTTCAACGAGGGAGTCTGCTCGTTAAAAATCCCATCATTTCTCCATCACCAGATCCACCAAAGCCGAGTGGCGAATTGGGCCTGCCAGTCTTCGTGAAATCCCTGCCTCACGTCGCTTTTAATGTTTGTCGTGAGCCACTGGTCCCACGTCAAATTCCTGAGCATAGCCTTTGTTCTAATAGGGAGAACTGCTTCCCGAATACCTTCTGCCGCCGGGCATGACCGAAATAAGTGAGTGAGGTCCTCCACCTGCCCTGCACAAAGAAAACAAAAAGGAACAGATGTTATATTACGCCTTGCCCTATCTACATTTGTGAGAATTTTACCATGCCGCACAAGCTAGATGAACATGGTAATTCTAGCCGAAACTCGGGTCCGCCATAATCGGCACCAATCATCACAATCGGCGCTGCCTGACACGTTCGTCAACAAACCATACATTGATCGAATGGAGAATTGCCTATTTTCTTCAAGGCTCCAACCAATTCCGTCCTCCTGATGCTCATTCGTTAACACAAACCCCGCTAGTTTCTCCTTTGTCTCGGGCAGTAGCGCGCGATCAAGCACTTCCCATTTCCAGCCTCTATTTTCGTCCCAGTAATCTCTTACCCTAGCGTAGAGTTCAGGAAGTGGGAGAGTCGTGGTGAGCTGATTATACATAGGCTCTGGAAGTAACCAGCTATCCATCCAGAACTTGGTGTCTGTCCCGTTCCGGACTTTGCTAACTTTGCCCTTTAATATGTCCGTCCAAGCCGCTGATATGCCCCGCCAAGCGTTTGAGGTATTCCGACGACCTTGCCGCAGCTCGTGTGGGTCTTCTGACCTTCGATACTTTGTGTTAATCGTTTGCGCCCAAAGACTTTCCTTTTCCGTCATGAGGCGCCAACCCAACTTTGCCATGTAAGCCATGTTCATTTCGCAGAGTCTTTTAAGCCCCAGGCCGCCAGCATCCTTTGCCGTTGTGACTAGCTCCCACTTTGCCAAGCTCATCTTTCCTTCCGTTCCATTCCCCCCCTCCCCCCCCCCCCCATATAAACTGTCTTGTTCTTTTTTCAATCTCTAGACACGCCGCTTTAGGTAGATAAGTCGTTTGCATAGTGTATGCGGGTATCGCGTTTAGGACAGTCTTTGCTAGCACAACTCGTCCTGCTAGGGACAAAGTCTTTGCTTTCTAGCCCTCTAGACGTCCAGATATCCTGGTCAGAAGTTCTGAATGTGTAGCACAAGTTACCCGACCATGGATGGCCGGCACTCCTAGATACTTGCCCAAATCACTAGTGTGATCAATTCCAAGCCTGCGTGATATGTCTTGTACCATGTCTTGGGGCGTATTTTTTGAAAAAAACATCTGGGACTTGCTTAGACTGATCTTCTGACCTGAGGTTCGGCAGTACCGACTCAGACAGTCTCTGATCACCTCAACCTGCTCTGTCGTTGCTTCAGTGAATAGAACCATGTCATCTGCAAAACAAAGATGTGTTAGAGTGGGTCCATTGTTTACAAGTTTAATACCTTTCCACCTCTGCATCCGGGTCTTAGCCCCAATTAACTGACTGAGCCTTTCCAAGCACAACACGAAAATGGCTGGCGACATGGAATCCCCTTGCCTGACACCACGTTTGGGGTCAAACGGTTCTAAACGTTCTCCATTCCATAAGATTGAAAGCCTCGGTGTCCGTATACAGGTCATCATGAGTGTCTTTAAAGGTCCTGTAAAACCCGCTTGAGCTAGAGTGTCGTGGATGAAATTCCATGATAGCCTATCATATGCCTTTTCGAAATCCAGCTTGATTGCCATGTATCTTTTACCCCCTCGCTTCTCACGCATTGTGTGCATTACTTCTTGAAAGATGAGGATGTTGTCCGAAATCTGCCGACCAAGGACAAAGGAGCTTTGTTGTGGCCCCACGGTCCTGGGCAAAATACTCTTGAGCCTATTAGTGATCGTCTTGGTGATGATTTTATAAGTTACATTGCAGAGGCTGATGGGCCTGAACTGTTTGACATTCTCTGGAGCTCGGACTTTTGGAATCAAAGCGATCATGGTGTCATTTAGGCCATCCGATAGGGTGCCCGTCGTGAAAGCATGGTGGACCAGTCTGAAAATGTCTTCTCCTGTCTTGTCCCACGTGCGTTGATAAAAACCAGCATGAAAACCATCCGGTCCCGGGGCTTTGAAAGGCTTCATGTCTTTTAGAGCCTTGTGAACTTTATCTTTCGATACAGCCCTGTTAAAACTAGCCCACTCCACAGCCCTTAGCCTGGGGAAATTTACAGTCAACTGTTCGGGTGGGGCCCTGTCATTCTCTTCAGAAAAGAGACGTATGTAGAACATTCTGATGTGATTTCGGAGACCATTCTCCGGCGTGAGCACCGTTCCATTCTCATCTAAAATAAAGATTTTTAACATTTACACGGGATTTGCGAATAGCCATGGCTGCATGATAGTAGGCTGTGTTCCTGTCCCTAGAATTGATCCACTCTTCTCGTGATTTCTGGTACCAGACAAGCTCTTCTTGGTGAAGGGTTAATTCCAACTCTTTTCGGAGCTTCATTTCAAGTTTAAACAGTCCTCTGTGTTTGTTATTCTCTAGAATCCTTTGGAGACCTTTGATCCTAGACACGAGATCCCTCTTGCGTTTAAATACATTTCCAAATGTAGCTCTATTCCAAGAAGATAGCTCGGCGGCCAGGGTTCTTGTATTATCTAGCATGCTGCTTCCTCCGTTCCAGGTTCGGTCAACAACATCCTGAAAGCCATTATGTGTAAGCCAGGCCGCCTGGAAAATGAAAGGCGGTTCCGCTTGTCGTGGTCTTTCCCCTTTCACCTGAACAAGAATGGGTGCGTGGTCGGAGGCGATCCGAGCTAGGTGTGTTACCGATGCCTATGGGAATCTGGTCCGCCATTCCGAGTTACACAAAGCCCGAT